ATAAACATCTCCACGCTGTGTATCAAATTTACGAATACTCTTTAACACAGTAAAGAATTCAACGTTATTAAACAACCCGACACCATCAAATACCTTAAGATTGTATCTACATCATCAGATATTGTATCATAGTATCTTACAAAAAGTCATGCACTATGAAGTTTTGAGTTAAAAGATATAAAAGCGGTATTTATTTCAATTTTATTTCAATGACTTAACAGATAGATTGCCCGTGTTTAAAATGATGGGGGAAAATGTGTATAATATGCGCTAGTGGTAAAGATAATCTGATATTCATTATTTAACCTAGTTATCACAATCAAGTGAAATACATGTATGCTCTTTTTTAGTGTTGTCTATTTTACTTTTCAGGATCCTTTTAATTAAACAGTCTGAAACATTCGTAAATTAAGGTTAGAATCCAGAAATGTCAAATGTTTGAGACAAAACTAATTCTAATAATGGCCTTAAAATTAAGAAGATTTTAATAGCGCCATTTTACATGAATATGATTGTAACAGCACACTTTTAACATGGATATGATTGTAACAGTACAATCTTTTCATGGATATTATTGTAAAAACACCATTTTCACAAGGTCTTTTTTTAATCTATATTGAAATTATATTAACACTAAGGAATACGTTAGTGGTTGGATCAGTGATTTATTCTTTTTATACATGTAGTATACACGTATCTAAATAAGAATTGAATTTGTCAGGTTGTCGCTGCATCATTAAACTTAACTTCAAATATGAAGTATATTCCTTTCAGATGGCATCAATGAAATAATTATAAAAAGTATGTCGACGATTGAATTGTTAATAACTGATTTAGAGCATCCACATACTTTTATCATATAAATAGAATTGTAACAACTGTTTTTAATTTCCATATTTTCAAAAATAAAGAAAAAAAAAAAAAATTAAAAATGGTTCTTAAATGTGCCTTCGATAACAATGTAAATGCAATAATGTAACAGCGGCGAGTAATGAAGTTGAAAAATAAAAATTCGTAAATTGAAAAATATTTGGATCAGCATTGTGTATCAGCAGTTTCCTGATTTCCACAATTTTAGATTACCCGAACGTCATGTGTGTGTAACATAATACATTTATGAAACTTAACAAAAGGCAAGCTGTGACAAATTAACACAGAACAATCTGTTCGTCAAACAGCAGCACTGTTCCTTATTATATCTTCTATATATGTATGTAATATCTAAACATGCGTGTCATATTCGTTATCGCAATCATACCTTTATGTCACGAAAGCAGGATCAATGGTATTTTTTTTTCTATGTAGGAACAGTTCTATCATTAAATGACGCATTCATTTATCGGGGTAGCAAAAATTATTTTAGATAAATATTATATATATTATCAATAAACAAATCAACAATAAAATAGATGTTTTTTCATTGCATCAACCCTATTTAGGGCTTTCCAGCTTTTCTGGTGTAGAAAGACCTTAGGTACATACCCGGTCCGAACTTGGCATTTATTTACCCTTAGTTTTACCTAAGGCATTAACTTAAAAGTTATTGCTTGCAGGTTTCTTTTATGTTCTGAGATGCCTCCAAGGACAGTCTTTCATGCGGAAAGTTTAAAATACTTCACTGACATGAAGGTCCAAGGATAAAATGTCATTCATTGTCCATATATTGCTCGAATGACCAAGTCAATAAACAGGAGTATGAAAGTAAACTATGTATATTTGATTATGATTGTAACTTCCATTAATATTATTATTATCCATTTCATCACGGCTGTGTTGTAGTTTTAACCATGTGTCAGACAGTATGATTATTATAATTATTTTACAGTAAGATTATCAAATACAATGTTTATGTCCACGTGTACTTAAAAACCATGTGTTGAAATTAGCTTGACAGGCATAAACAGTGCATGGTTTTACACACTGTGCGTTTTTCACGTAATCATGATGAAGAATCATGCTCTGAGTGACACCTATTTACATTTTAATTATATGTGTTTAATGATAGCATGAATTACCCTTTTAGTATATTGCAGATCACGGACAAAGTATTTTAATTTATGCTAATTGCAGGTGGTATCAGACTTTGTTTTTTATTGTGGGCTTGCTGTTTTTTATGGCAATCAAATATGCGTCCTTATGAGTGCTCAATAATATTGGTTCTGATCAGCTAATTTTCAGCATCTTACTTCAAACGTTTTTATAGTGTTTTGTTACTTCTGTTAATCAAATATATGAGGCAAGAAAAAGAAGTAATGTAATGGAAATTTTCAAAAAACTGAAGAGAGCAATTAACAGAATAGAAAATATATATTATATAAAGCCTTTCTTGTACTAGGAGAAGTTTAAGTCAGCAACGCATACCGTCATATATTATACAAATATGGACTTTTTAGCTGGTAAACATGAGGAAAAAAATATTGACCTGTGTTTTTGATAAATAAAAATACATGTTAGCAAATCAGAGAAACGCATTTCTAGGTTATTCATAGATAATATAATAAAGTACATTAATATACAATAATCTTTACTTATGGTAGCTTTAGCCAAATGCATTAATGTTGTGAAACCTTCAATGACATACTTAATTTAGTAGTTGCTTTTTCCAACAAAATGACGATCATTCGGAGTGAAAACGAGTTACATTTAAATGGTTAGAAAAAAAATATTGCCTACTTCAAAACCGTTTTGCTTTTCAACTTTAAGAAAAAGAAAATATTGATAACATTAGTGTCGTGGATGTAAATAACTTTATTGATGTAGTACAATAAAATATAGGTGTTGCCGTCTCGCCTTTAAACCGTATGCGCGTCATGTTGTTATGCTTACAAGTATTCAGAACCCATAATCTATTATATAATTACAAAGAAACTGAGCGTAATATTGTAATGCTCATTTTTCATAATTGCATGTCAGATAACAGTTTGAACATTTGTCTTGATATCGAGTCATATTGCCCATTTATTCTCTGGAATGTAAGCAAAATAACAATGGCCGAAAAGTTTGCATGCCATTGCCAAACTTCAATAGTCTCATCAGACTTGTTGATCACTATATAGCTACCATTCATTTATATTTAACTTAGTATTTAGATACTGCTGATCAGAATATCGCACTTGATACTTTGTAACATTTTGCTTTCCTTTTAATTTACACAGATAATTGAAATATATTTATTTGCTATAAAAATGATTCAAAGATAATGTATAATCCAATCCGTTGTAAAACCATGAAATATTTCTCCAATATATTTTTAACTGTAAGCACGTAAATAAAACAAAAAAATATTTGTTTTAAATTCAGGTTTGTCCATAAGCATCGCATGTATGTTGCCCGTATTTGTGGAGAAACAATAAACGCTTTAAAGCTGTTTTAGAATAATTCAATTGAACAGTAATTACAGTCTTAATGGATAACCTTGACCTCGTATATTGGCCCGTTTTGATCGGTGCTTATTATTATCATGTAAATATGTATCAGTTTGACAAAACAAGAGCATTGTTCATTTAAATGTTCAAGTAAACATGTTCGTTTAAAACGCAAATGCATGCTGTAATTTGCAGTTCAGAAGCAATAACAGAAAAATGTACAGTTATAAATCTATTTCTTAAGGGCTTTAGAAAGATCTTTTGTATCATGTATATTGTTTTGTTTTGCTTTACCGGATATAACTTTGACATTTTACATCAAAATATTTTAGTATATTTGTTCGTTGAAATCCTACCAACTTCACTCACGTTCAAATATTTCAGCCTGAAGATCGGCCAATAAAATGCTGGATATTATCAGTGATGAAAACGGTTTCTTAAATAGTTTATATCAACATATATATACTTTAGCATCACCTTGGCAGATATAAAAAATAACAACTTAAGTATCTTGTAAACATTGTTTCTTATTTTGTATTTACAATTTATGTTTTGGGAATAAAAATATCCGACAGTTACATGATGTAAAGCTATATCTCATTAATATTGTTCATTTCATATAAAAACGGTGAATAATCTTGTTTCCGATTTGAGTAAGAGTTATAATAAAGAACGTTTCCATTATTTAACAGACATGAAAATTGTACGTTATCAATATAAAATATGTAGTAAGATTTTTACCGTTAAGCTATGATTTGCGCCTTTCCTATAGTTACTTTGTAAATATTCTATTACGAAATTCATACTGAAGGCAGCATAGATAACATCTTACACTTTAATGTCTGTCCTTTGAAGATGCTACCACGCGATATTAAGTTTGCATCTTCAACCTTTAAAATATCACATACAACGATAAAATGGGCAATGAAAAACGACATAAAACCATTGTGTATAGCACAATTTTCATAAAATGACAACAAATGTAGTATTCTCTATATAGAACCAGAAAACGTACAAAAAGAAGACAAAACCACAGTTTGACGAAACATTGTTATATAAGTGTTTGAAATATAAGGAAATAATGCATATGTTACATTGAGAGCAAACAAATTATGAGACTTAATTTACATTATACGATATTATTGGTCACTGTGCTTAATACTGGCCATACATATGCATGTCTTTTTTTCTAATTTGTCTTCATTTTTTTTTCATTCTTCACAGTTTTTCATTATATATGTATTAAGTAATTAGTGTGTACAATAGGATATCTTAATTGTTGAATTTATAAGTTTTTAGTACACTTTAAGCAGGACTTAAATGTAAAGCATGGACAAATGTATGAACAAGACATGAACTGTAATGCATATTAACTAATTGCCATTCACTATATATACGATACTGAAACAAAAAGGAACTAAATGAATTAATTATAACATTTTGTAAATAAAACACTGCTCTTACAATTACAATTACACATGATCAATAAGCACTCAATTCTGAACAAAGAGTAATGAAAGGTAATAGGATAAATCAAACTTAAACTCATGGTAACATGAGGTAAAATTTCAATAAAACATTTGTTCTTTCCAGTCGTTACCGCTATTAAACATTGATGGTAAAAACAATTGTTCCATGATAATCATGATTTGTTTTGCAGAACATTCTTTTTTTATGTTATGCTTTCCGAAATCAATACATACAGAAAACAGTCTTTGAACTAGCTTCTGACACTAACGGTCATGTTTTTTAAAAGTATTAAACGTTTTATAAGGTAGGACATATCAGTCAATCCAGAATCTGATAAACAGGACTAAGACTAAAAATGTTCAGTCAAACAGTCAAAAACTATTTAAGTATTTAACAAGCACTGGCTTTTTGTAGATTGTTCAGTTAGAATGCCCAACACGCTGAAATTAAAATAAGTTGATAGTGCATTAAAAATGCCATCTTAGTAAAATGTTATTATTGAGTTTCACATTATTTCATATAACCAAACAATATGCACATTGCATTTGCGTTATAATCGCATGAACGTCTCTCCTTCAGAACTTACGGTGCTCACAGATTGTGTATGAAAGTTCCGCGTATTATGCATTGATTCTGAGATAGTTCTTCTCCGCTTGCAGAAAAGGTTCTTCAAATCTCTACGAAACTTTGATCCACAAAAAATATAAAGCACAAAATTAATTGCACTGTTTGTATGCAACAACATCAGAAATATTGTCCCAGTAAGCATCAAGTTTGCAATGCGTTCTGGTGTTATTGTTTCCACTGGAAACCAATATGGCTGTCCTATTGCGAAGATGGAAAAGGGAGAGACTAAGGAGGAGAATGCTATGTTTAAAACGACTGCTGTACTTGTGAAATGAGACGCCGTACGGTTTTCACGACGATATGAGTGGCCTCTAAGTTCCTGTCCGTTATGCGTAGTCACTGTACTTGCTTTTCGGAATTTTTGACTCGATTGTAATGTGTGTATAACCATTATGTTGCCACAAAGAAGCACACTAAATGGAACAGCGAATGCAAGAACAAAGTCAATCCAAGTCCAGTATTTAAACATGAAATCTTCATGCTTGCTAATCACTATGCAGTCAAATGATTGATATAAATCATTATAAACATGTTCATATCCATAAATAAGATGAGCATTTAAACCAGCTATGACTAAGACAAGGACAAATAGGCCTAGAAATACCTTCCGTCTTGTAAAAACATCCCTTACTCTGTGTGGAAATCTCACACTGAACACTCGCTCGACTGTTACAAGCACAAGAATCCACGGTGACAGTTGGAACAGAAAATATGACAAGAAAACATGAAATTTGCACGCACCATTTGAAGAAGTCCTTAAATTTATCTCAAACATATGGCTCAGCCATCGCACGAGTACGGAATTTATGAGAATCAATGTGTCGGTAACTGTCAGGAACATCAACATAAAACCAGTCGAAGTTTTTCTGGTACTTGCCTGTGCCAAAACGATCACAGATAAAATGTTTCCTATAATTCCAATGCCTAACAATATCGGTGGGTATATTGTTAGTATTTTATCAATAATTTTAAACTTTAAATCCTCCGACATAATTGACAAAAAAGCAAAACAAAATTGTTTACATCAAACAGCAAATTATTACCACATAATAATAAATATGCGGCAGATAAATTGAAGAAAATTATGAACGTATTTGATGACACATACGAAACAAGTTATTGTAATATCTATTCATTAAAATAATGCGGATAATATCCAAATTAACGGCAAACAATTTTCATAGAACTTATCCTGTTTCTACAACTTTATCATTTATAACCCACAATTAAACCTGTAAGATCTGCATTTTTGTAAACATCTATTACAAGAAGATCGCAAGTTGTTTATCAATTTCGTAAATCCTTGTTATTAACTCTTGCAGTGTGTTATATTAAAATGTACAACATCTAGGACACACGGATAGTTTTTACCTCTGCTCTCAGTCCCTTTTATACTCGCTGTATCGAATTTACGATTGCTTACAAATGGCTTTTTTATTCAGCGCTATTCAACAGTACGACACTTTAAAACTTCGTAAAATAATAACTATGTAAACGCAAACCTATTTTTTTTTAAATTTTGAATATACGCTTATTTATATCTAGAGAAATTTAAAAAAGTGGAAAGCCTAGTATGCTTTTAAGATAACCAAATGTGTTAAGTATTGGAGAAATAGTGACAGCACCGAGGGCCTCACTGTATTAAATTAGTCAGCTCACAAACATCTAACAGTCAGAAAAATGGAAAGACTCACAGCATATTTCTATGATGGTAAATGTTCAACGCTCAGGCCTTTATTTTTTTTGTCTGATCGCTGACGACTTCGCAGATATATAATTATTCTGATAGTAACTAATACGAATTTGAAGAAGGAACACTTTCATTTTAGTTAATCAGAGGATAAGCATAATTGATTAATTATCACAATGAAGAAAAAATATTTTATTTTATTGTTGTTATCATACTTGTATGGGTTCTTTAATTATACAGTCTGGAATATCAAATGATTTAGATAAAACGTTTTTCTCGCATTGTAGATAAAATAACCATTATTGTAACACAACTTTTCTGATTGATTGTGATCTTATTTTATTGCAAATTTTAGCAATCTGCCTGAAATATTTCGTGTCTTCCTCTCTTGAATATCAAGTCATGAACAAGACTTTTATATTCATTTTATCAGTAAATCATTTATTAACGTATAAAACAGGTATTTCAAGATATGAGTGTAGAATGTTTAAGTATATTTTAGGTTTACAAACATTTCGCTGATTGTGTGTACGTGATAATTTGTAAATATTACAATGTGTTGAATAGTACAGTTTCATTTTTTGTCCTACTTATTAAACATTATATTCTGAGTAGGAAGTTTGCTACGTATTCAGTTGACTACACAAAATATGTACGTATTCATCACGACTAAAACTGTGTGAATACATGTTATGTGGTATTTGGCCATTTTTATCTGGCCTTGAGTGGATCTTGTCCTCCTACTTGAATACTGTATAATCACCCTTAGGATATGTTGCCTGCTTTTTAAATGGTCTTTTGACGTCTTGTCTGTGAGATACAGGCTTTACAAAACTTCAAATTCCATTTTAGTTAGTTCCGCCCATTGTTTTCTCGTTTAGGGCACACACATTCTTTTATTTGGTGACCATACGCCTTTCCAGGAATGGCACTACAGTGTTACATTGAAGGTTCCAATACAGGATCAATCAAACCGATCCTGTAACATTTTCAATTTTACTGTGTTGGGTTTTGGTTTAAACAGTATTTATTTCATATAATACAAACATATGCAATTATGATACAACAACATTATATAAACAGTATTGAAAAGGAAGTCAAAGACTTATGTAGATTTCTTTCATGTAAATTGTAAAAATAAAACAAATTATAATGTAACAACACGTACTTGGGTTTTCTTTAGGTATTCTGGTCGATCTGGCTTTGTTTAGGGATTCTGTCCGGTCAAACAGAACCTGCAACATATTCAATTTTGCTGTGTTGTGCTTTCTTTAGGGATTCTGTTTTTCTCTATTTTGTATTCATATCTAAAAATCATCCACACGAAGATACACCGGAAACATTTAGTCATTTCTTCAAAGCTCGTGTTGAAAATTATACTTATTTTTTGTTAAATTAAATTTTATTATTGTTTTTTTAACCCTACTGTATAAACATTCAGGACTTTAAACGTGCTTGTTATTAACTAAGTGCTGTGTTTATTTAATTTATAATATATATCTTATATAGAAATGCATAATGATGGTATTATTGTTAACATCATCTTTAGAAAACAATAAACAATTAATCAAGGCGGCATGACATTATTTTTTTATTAATGAATGTTTTGTATTCATGACTGGATATAAAACACTTTTACAAAGCTTTTATATGGGTCAAACTGAACTCGACCTTGACCTTAATTAACCATGACCATTAATCCCAAATTATTGAACTTTGCTAAAATTTGGCATAATTTGTGTTTTCAATTATGGATGAATTTGGCAAGAACTTAAACAACACGTAACATAAAACTCTTACGTTTGGCAACTTACGTTTGACCTTGATCTTAAATTGCCTTGACCTTTAAAGGCAAATTGTTGAATTTTTTTTAAAACTGGTCGTAATTGTGATTTTAACAAACAGAATTAATTCAAACTTAGATTAAACAACATTTATCATTTATCCGTCATGTTGAAATACTTATATTTTGACATTGACCGTTAAACACCACTGACCTGAAAGGACAAAGAATTGAACTTTTTTTAAAACTGAATAAAACTTTGGATATTAGGCATAACAACCTTTTTATGAATAGCTTAAAGTAGTCAAACTGAATGTTTTAGATAGATTAAACGTTTTTACTCGCATTGTAGATAAAATAACCATTATTGTACTGTATAGTGTATAGTATGTATAACCATTATTGTACTGTATAGTGTATAGTAATGTATAGTATTGATAAAATAACCATTATTGAGTGTGATATTATTTTATTGCAAATTTAAGCAATATGCAGTTAATATTTCTTGTGTTCTCTGAATAAACAAAAGCCTTACCATATCTTTTTTGTCAGTAATTTATTGAATATAAAACAGGTCGAGTGTAGAATGCTCTAGTTATATGTTTCTAAATTCTATGTTTACCATCATTTCGCTAAATGTGTGAACGCGATTATTGGTAAATATTACTGGACAACTAAAGTTTGACATTGACCTTTAAACAACCTGTCAAATTAAATTCTTGAAATTGGCCATAACATTGTTATTATTGGATGTTTTGTATTCATTATTGAGCATAACAAACGTTTTGTAAATACTTTCAAGTAGGTCAAGTCCATGACCTTTAATTATTAACTAGCACAAATTGTTAACTTCTACTTTAAATATTTTATATTAGCAAGTTTATCTAACAATCGTTTAGTTAATTTTAATACACAGTTAAATAAACGCTGTTGAAGACATAATTAGATAGTAATATAATCACCCAAGAGTTGAAACCTAAAACAAACTACCGATAAGAGAATCATTTCGCTTTTGACTTAACTATTCGATATCAGATTACTATTGTTTACGAATATTTCAGGTTGTAGAATTATCAACATAAACTAGTGCACGCGCACGCGCACACACACGCACACAATAAACCATAAAAACATTGATGAAGAAGATCCTTCTTGACTTGATTATGAATGTTGTTGTCTGATACATGTAGTAACTGATGCATTTATAGGACTCTTTTTTCTAGAGACCTTTCATATTTAGAAAAGTTAGATGCTTTATTAAATACGGAATTACGGAATAGTTTACTAGTATCTTTGTCATTTGAAATACATTTTTAATTACACGGCCCTTTTTTACAAAACCTTAACTGAATGATATTTCCTACATTATAACATATCGGATATCTTATGGTCCTTTTTCACAAACGTTTTGCTGGCTGATATTTCCTACATTATAAGACCTTGATGGTTATTTTGTCTTTAAAATATGGCCAGAAGAATCAGCGACAGTCATTGTAAGGCATTCATTTATAAAAGCGAAAGCATAATATTTGGATTGTTCTGCAAACACACCATTAGTAACTTAAATGCTATTTTCATTTCTTTCACACTTAGAAATAATGGATAATCGACCAAAAAAGATAAACAATTATTTGAAAACATTAATGCTGAGCTCATATTCTCATTTGTTCTATGTAAGAATTCATATATACTTTTTGTTAAGAGTTAAGTGATAATTGATCATTTGGAAATAGGATTGATGGCGTTTGAAAATTTAGTAAAAAATTGAATCTCACGAAACTGTATTGTGTTTTTCAAACAATCGTAAAAGCCATTAGTCAAATTTATACTCAAAATAATGCTTCATTTCAACTCAACATTTCATCCGCTTGTAAATAGAACGTTAAAAATATCGGTACATATTTAATTTGTACAAAAAGAGTTGTACATTTGGACAAATATAGGGGTTCTTTATAAAACTGTCGGACCGCTTTTGTCAAAAAAGTATTTTATTCAAAGGTCTGCTTTTAGTTATTTTAAAGAATCGTATCTTAGTATAGCCCCTTTGTCAGTCATTGAGGGAAGCTGATAATCCCCTGATAATTAAGTTATACCCTGAGAGCTTGAGAAGGAATGGTATTCGAGTATATTTTGTTTTGAAATATTACGAGTGGTGTATCTAGATAAAATGCATCGGCCTTAAAAAAAAATTTGATGGGGGTTCATCTTGACTATTGAATTGAGTAATGTAATTGAGAGACAACTGCATGATTTAAGAGAACTTTCCTGAATGGAAGCTTCCCTTAAAACTGCCCCTACTGTAGGAGGTAAAAGATCCTAGATGCCTAATATATCTATGCATGGCACCTGAATTCTTTCTCCATTAGTTGTATAGTCGCCATTTTACTTTAATTTATAGTGTTGGTGCAACTGACACAATCCCTCTCCCACTCCACTTCTTTGGCTATTCCTTCATAAAAATGATTTGTATTGCGATATATCATTAAAGATTCTCAAGAGATACGTAAACAATTAACTAATGCAAGACAGTAACTAAAACTTGACAGTGTACATTAACTCACAAAAAGCAATTCTAGAAAAAGCTCGAAAAGTATATTAAATGAATTTCAAAATATTCATTCTGTTTCACTATCGCCCATTAAATTTAATGCAATTCTCAAAATACTTGTAACACAAACTTTAACTAATGGACAAACCTGGTTTGAATTTGAATAAACTGTAATTTAATAGCATGCTGACAATTATAAAACAAATAAATGAAATAAGTGAAGTGGTGTCATTAACTGGTCCGACAATACGAAATGTTACACACACCTTCGTGACAGCTATTTTTTCTGATATCAAACTGGCAATTTGATAAAGTTACCAAGTGAAAACTCTAAATTGCTATGTATATAGCCGTTTTGCTTAGACATTCAACCTTAAAGAGTGCATATTTACTAATTATTGGACAGGTATATTTTACTGGCAAATATCAAACTTCATTTAAACGTTAAGGGATATACCTGAAACTTCTAAACACTATCACTTTTTTAGAAACAAAAATCGGAAATATACTGCTCCAGAAACTATATTGTTCAGCCTGCATAGTTATGAATCTTTGATTGCGACAAGACTAATCCCGCAACAAAACAGCGTCTAATACCACATGCAATTCACATAATATTATACTTAATGTCTATGACCATCTGCAGTATTGTCAAAATAGATCATGCTTACATTCAAACATTAGGTAAAAAAGATGAATAATTTGCAATCTCAAAAGCCATTTTCTTTTTTTTTATATTTCGTAACAAACGTTCTGTTTAATTAATATGCTACGAGAGAAAGAAATTCACTGTCGATACCTGTTGGTATTGAATTGATTGTCTAATATTGCACATTGTGGCATTAAGATAAATTTAGGAATTTAAAAATAAAATCACTTTTACTAGTTCGATGCTTCTATGTAGGCGAACAGCTTTTGTATTATTTTATTTTTAATTTGTAGATTTTTATTGAACTCACACAAAGATGAACAACACATTATTACAAATAGTTAAAAACACCATCCCAAAAAACAGAATTTCACTGCAAGATGTGTTATTGGAAGTCAGGGGCTAATTATATTAAGTTAATAGTATCACCTTGTACACATAAATGAGATTTTTAAAATACGTTACGTAGAATTTATGTTTTATTTATATTTTTTGTCTAATTTATTAATAGTATTGAACGATACTGATCTAGAATATGACACGCTTCTTTATAAGATGCAAGTAGTCCAGTATAATTAAATTACAAAGCTGTTGATTTTTACTATCATTGTTTACATCGATATTATTGGTATAAAAAGGTGGCATACATGTTCTAACGTTTGCTAGCAGTGCTTTGATTTACAAACCGTGCTTGACAAAACTTTCCTTTTGTAAAGTTCTATAGTTGTTATCTGTATCGGCAATTTGAAAACATGGAAATAATGAAACACTGTTTCGATCAAAACCTGCAATGACATGTATTGATATATTTTATATTTAATTAAAAATTGCTGAAAAAGTTGTAGATCAGGGGAGATAAAGTGAGGACAATGGAACATTATGGTATAAAGGAGAAAATCGCGAATCATGTTAAATGTGTGGGGGATAATGAACATCGCAAATTCTCCCATGTCTGTCTCCCAACTCCGGCCTCAGCTTAAACAGAAATGAATTATTGTGGCAACTATTACAGCTGCCACCAGCACATGTTTTTGATAAATGTAGAACCCTCCGGATAGTGGATAACACATATTGAAAAGTAAGATGTGTATATGATCAGAACATAAAAAACAATTAACAGAAAAATACCAAGAATATAATAATGTACGTCATAAATATGATGGAGAAAAAAGAAAGAAAAGTACGTTATATGGAGAAAAGCTTCAGTACTGTACGTCCTCGGTGAATCAGAGCATGCGGTCTTAAGTGTAGAAACAGCGGGTTATCGGTGGTCAATTATCGAAGGTTAAAAACCGAAATATGATGTTAACCTGAAACATTTCAAAATAGATGTAATTATGTTTTATGTTTTAGGTATCCAACACATTATGCTGGATAAAATGCTAATAATGTTATATGTAAATAATGTAATTTTGTTGCATAACTCTATAGCTTTATAATAGCTTTCTTTATTGTATTAAAAGCCCATTTGTAAGCGCTCGTTCATTCAATACAGAGAGTATAAAAGGAACAGAGTGAACAGGCAAATATTAATCGTGCCAACTAGATGCTGAATATTATATAAATGATATAACGCACTATAAGATATACAAAAATGGATTTTCAAAACTGACTTTGATTATGCGAATACAAATGTGAAGATTAAACAGTTTTTATTTTTGAATAAAATAGATAGATACAAACTTAAATATAAACTTATAAACTGCTACAAAAACGATTGATATGGCATAGATACTATTCTATTCAATTTGTCATTTGAATTCTTTTCATGTCCACGTTTCGTGACAACAACTGGAATATTTATGACAATCAAAAGAAATTCTTTCAATCATGACAGAGGAATTAAAGCTCAAAATCATTGATAAGATACTAATAATATACCCACCCATATTATTAAGCGTTGGACTTACAGGAAACATTTTATCAGTGATCGTTTTGGCACAGGCAAGTACTAGAAAAACTTCTACTGGTTTTATGTTGATATTCCTGACAGTTACCGACACATTGATTCTCATATATTCTGTTCTTGTAAGATGGCTGAACCATATGTTTGAGATAAATTTAAAGACATCTTCAAATGGTGCGTGCAAATTTCATATGTTTATTTCATATTTTCTGTTTCAACTGTCACCGTGGATTCTTGTGCTTGTAACAGTCGAACGAGTGTTCAGTGTGAAATATCCGCACAGAGTGAGGGATGTTTTTACAAGAAGAAGGGTAATTATTAGTCTGTTCATCCTTGTTTTGGTTCTTGGTAGTGTGAATGCCCATCTTATTTATGGATATGAACATGTTTATAAAGATAAATATGAAGCATACTACTGTACAGCGAGTAGCAATTATGAAAATTTCATGTTTAAATACTGGACATGGATTGATTTTGTCCTTGCATTCGTCATTCCATTTTGCGTGCTTCTTTGTGGTAACATAATGGTTATACACAAGCTCAAATTGAGTGAAAGGTTTCAAAAAGCAAGCACGATTACAACACAAAGCGGACAGGAACTCAGAGGCAACTTAAATCGGCGAGGAAACAATACGGCGTCTAATTTCACAATAACCGCAGTCATATTGAATATAACATTCTCCTGTTTGGTCTCTCCCTTTTCAATCTTTGCAATAGGACAGCCATATTGGTTTCCACAAGAAACACTATCATCAGAAGAAATAGTAAACTTAACACTTATTGGGACAATATTACTTATGTTACTGCATACAAATAGTGCAATTAATTTTGTACTCTACATTTTTTGTGGGTCAAAGTTTAGGAGTGATTTTATGAATATATTTTGTAAGCGACAAAGATCAATGTCTGAAACTATGCTGGGCACGCAGAGCTTTCCTTCGCAATCTCTGAGCACAATAAACTATTAAAGCGTGACATTCTTTCGATAACACACAATTTAATGCTCTCTTTATATTTGAAATATCAATAGCTAAAATAAATTCAGATAACTTTATAAGTGTGCTAAAATTGATGAATAGTTTCTATTTTGGCTTGTTGAGCGTTCTAACTATTCTATGAAGAAAGTGAAGACTTGAGAGTCAGATACCTGATACAATTGTAGGACGCAATGGAAATATAAAGGCTTAATATTTCACGGTGTTGGAATCACACAAGACTTGAGAAAAAGTAGGTTTCGATTTGAGGCCTATTATGTTGGATTTGTTGATATTTTCTACCTTATAACAACAGGTATTCCTCTTAAAAAGTGATCAGATGAGTTTTAAGCCATATCAAAGACATTAATTTACGTGTAAATATCATCTGGTATCTTTCGAGTTGTTATTGCAGAGGAAGAAGAACATTATTCCAGGCACAAGTCAGCATCTCAGTAAAAACACCGACCTTCTGTAATATAGATAGGTGGCTTCTTAACCAAAAAGAATCCAAAATTACTGATGTAATTTGAAGCCACATTTTCTAATATTGTAACGCATTTTACTTGAACAAAATGGAAAGACTTTTCCGGGAATCATTCTGCTTTAAAAAATCAAGTACATGTATATTGTCAACAGTAACATTTATAGAAACTATCTTGTATATTGTATGTATAAATAGAATGTATTCTCACGCGTTACGTATAAATATCATCTGGTATCTTTCGAGTTATAATTGCAGAGGAAGACCTAAGAACATTATTCCAGGCACAAGTCAGCATCTCAGTAAAAACACCGACCTTCTGTAATATAGATAGGTGGCTTCTTAACCAAAAAGAATCCAAAATTACTTATGTAATTTGAAGCCACATTTTCTAATATTGTAACGCATTTTACTTGAACAAAATGGAAAGATTTTTCCGGGAATCATTTTGCTTTAAAAATTCAAGTACATGTATATTGTCAACAGTAACATTTATAGAAATTATCTAGTATATTGTATGTATAAATAGAATGTATTCTCACGGTTACGCACCGTTTAATTTTAGTTGTCGTAAAAAATAGTGCATAAACTGTTTTGTAGGCAGCTTCATCGTGAACATTTTATTTTCTTAAGGCCAGCTAACAATCATTTTGGCAATTATAAATCTTTACGGAAAGTTTTATTTCTGGTAAAGAAAGTCAGTTATTATTTCTAATTTGGAGGATGAGGTGGGTGATGGTGAATATTCCATTTTACCTCTTTGAAATGTTCTTGTTTTTTGACGTTGTAATCTTTGTCTTATAAGTATGAGAGTATTAATAGAACTCATCAAACTTTGTAGAAATAATAAACGAATGCTTTTACTTCTTGCCTGAAAATATGTTTGAGCTGTTATCATTATTTACACTTGAAGGAACTTGAAGTGTGCCACCCAAGAAGCATATTAGACTGTGTTACGGAATTCTTCAAAATGTTTAGTCACTGTGGTTCTACATGTTCTTAATTAAATAATAAACTTTAACTGTTTCGTCAACTTGATTCAATTGTAATTTCATTTTTAAACATATTCAAATGCATTGGACTTTAAACAAAATATAACATAAAACGCAGCTTTTTCTTTCGTGTAACATGTCCTCCCACCTGCGTTTATAACAGAAATGATCTGGACCTCATTGATAACACATGATTTTGAAAGAAGTGTGGGGAATATTATTCAATTATCTTCGGATATTAGCTTTTAGGGCCTGTTTGCGAAAGGGCTCCATTATTTTGAGCACATCATTGAAGCTCCGCCGATATATTCAATATAACTATTTGAGTATTTTGATTGCTGTAAAATATTTATATTTATTGCCAAACCTATAGCAAAGGAGCTTCTGATAATGTATGCAATTGTCGTACAATTAAAAATTAAATGGAATACTAAAAGAACGCCATAAACTGCAAAATTGAAAAAGTTGCAAACTTGTGTAAAGTAGGCCTGTTGATAAAGTCATGCTGTGAGAGAAAACCTACTCAAAAGGTGAATAATTGTCATTCGGAGCAGTCATGTTGATTTCCTTATCACAAGTTTGTTATAAAAGCATTCTGTATTATATTGATTCTATACTATAATAAAACGCACTCTTGATATCCGTTAAAACTGAATATTCATCACAAATTAATGCAATTAGGAAAATAGAAACACTCGCGCGGAAAATTATTATGATTGCAAGTGTGACAGCTTTGCTGTTGTTTATTTGATATTCAAAACATGCTAATTTCCCCTAAACAACAAGCCAACTAGGAAATATCGATGAACATTGGTTGAGATACGAGTATGTTACACAATTACTGTTATGCTTGAATATTCCCCACTTAAATGTTGCTCCGTTATGTATTCAATGACACGTGCCTCATAGGTCACATGTAGGTACACAATATGTACACCTGGAATTCTAAAATAATTTGCCAAACAGATTGCAACGAAATTACTGGTAAAGTAAACTGTAGGAATTTCGCTCTTCAGTAGTTAAAAGAAAGAGAAAACGTAAATAATTTAAAGCTTGTATCATTTTTTACCAAACTGCTGGAAACAAAATTAATGCAATTACCTCTAGTACAGTACCTGATTAGATAACACCTTCATACAGTCTGATCAGGATCTCTGCTGTTTTAAGGGCAAGTTCCGTATTCATCAATTTTCAATTTCACATTTCAAAAGCTTTTGCAGGACAAACTTCTAAACTCATTTATTAGGGTGTGGGTAAAACCAAAGAAACATGTCATCAAAGATAACATGATTACAGAAAACTGTGAGCCATATAAAAGTAAAGAAACCTTTTTTCTATTGTGGGACATAAATTCACTATACAAATATATTCACCGGAGTAATTTTATTCAAAATTAGACATTACACAATTCGTAGACAGTTTATAGCTGATAATCTAAATCCTGAAATTAAGATAAATAAAAGCGAAACACAATACAATACAATACAATAAAATGCAATACAAAATTGAAAATAAAACTTGACTTAACTTGATATATATATATATATGGACCATAAGCCAATATTTTCCCACCCGCTTAGCTCCAATGATAGAGCCTTAGATAAGTAATCCAGCTGTCGCTGGTTCGATACTTCCTCAAGTGAGGCGTTTTTTGTCCGTGACAAAAATTCATCTCGGACAATGAGTCTAATGGTTATTTGTCTCTCACCACGACTAAAAATCATTGGGTAAATGTCGATCGGAGTAAAGGGTTTTGTAAATAACACATCTCGATTTTCAATTCAAAATTTTTACCTTTTCATGTTTAAATTTTGAATTCTGCTAAGGGGGTGCTAGGCGTAAGGGTATTTTGCACTTTTACAGCCCCTCATGAACGGGCAAAATTAAACCAGCTGCAACATTTTAAATTATGTTATGTTAGACTTTCTTTAGGGATCTTATTTGTCTCTACGTTATCGCCACATCAGCGTTGTTTGTGCCGTGTGGAGGCTGTAAAAAGTCGCCCCATACATTCAATCAGAGATGTTATATTTCCGATCCTTAAAGATCGTTCAGCACGATATTATTGTTGTGCTTGTGGTATTTTTAGTTTTAACTTTCGGCATTTTCTAGTTGGGTGGTTCCAATATCCCTACTTGAATAATGTTGAATCACCCTTAGGATATGTGGCCTGCTTTTTAAATTTGTCTTTTGACGTCTTATCTGTGATATGCAGGCTTCATAACCTCTGATCCCCTTTCAAAATTCCATTTTATTTAGTTCCGCCCATTGTTTTCTCGTTTAGGGCACACGCTTTTTATGACTTGGGGTCCATACGCCGCTTTTCATGGAATGGCACGCAAGTGTCACGTTGAAGGTTCCATGATAACCGCCGTATGAACACATCTGCGGATGTTTCTAAATTCAAAATTTTACCATTTCATGTTTAAATGTTGAATTCTGCTTAAGCCGGTGCCAGGGGGCGTGGACGGTAGTTTGCATATTACAGTTCCGTCCATAAACAGGCTCAATCAAACCGTGCCTCTTATTTTCTTTATTCTACTGGTGATGTATCATGGAACACTTTTAAGGATGATTCACCGACGAGATATTTTCTACTGGTAATGTATCATGGAACACTTTTAAGGCTGATTCACCGACGAGATATTTTCTACTGGTAATGTATCATGGAACACTTTTAAGGATGATTCACCGACGAGATATGACTAAAACGTATGTCCAAATCGGAGTGAAAACCAGACAAACAAACAAATAATAATCAATATTATGACTACAGGTGCTAAGTGCCATTTGACGGCTGTAAAAGGTTCCCAAGTACTTCCGTGTTGTTATATCTTTCTGGTCCTTCGGGATCTTCAATTCTATCACATTTAAGTGTTGAAAACTGAGTACGGCCAAAGCCGTTGCAAGGGGGGGGGGGGGGGGTCCTTAATGTATAGATTCAATGAAACCGAGCGTGCAATTTTCATGTAATTTTGTCGTGATTAATGCTTCCGAGGGATCCCGCTTTATCCAGATTTTAATATAAAGGAATAACTTAAGTCAATAAATATACATTGTATCAAGTTAACCATAAACTATGAAACATTTTCGATCATTGGGCTCTTTTAATGATAAAGTTCTTGTCATATTTTCATTAATGCAATTCGAATAACCATTAATTCAAACCTAAAGTGAAAACATGTTTTATATTACTACTTTACGTTATTAAACACTTCATCCATTACGAGTGATATGAACTTTTAAATTGAACGGAATTATAATAAATTCATTGATACAAATCGTTTAAAGAAATGTGATACTAAATTTGACACAAGACGAATTAAAAAAAAAACAACAAACAGAAAACAAATTTCATTACAAATGTTTCAGTGGTTGTTTTGCGCTAATGACTGATCCGAGATAGTTTAATAGATCGACTATAATATTACAGATTTGTACAAATAAATGAGAGTTTTCCAATATGTTATTTGAGTTAATGTTTTATTTGTTGTTGTTTTTTAAAGTGTTAATGTTATAATAAATGATAATAATCTCGAATATGATCCGGCACCATATAGAATGAGTGATTAAGACTGTTAGTCAAGTAACAACTTATGTGTTGTTATATGCATTTCATTCATTGTATTATTTCCTTGCAAACAAATGTTATATAATAATAAAAAAGATTGGCCTTTTTAGCGAATGGTTGTTTATGTGAACAGAACTATTAACAAATGGTTTGATAACATTGCTGTGTTTTACAAAGGCGAAGAACAAAATCTGTCCATGATAAAAGGATAGTTCGTCACAGCTTGCCTTATATAAAGATCCATTGGCAAATTCTGTAACAAAAATATGCATACACGTAAATGGCATAACATTATAAGTTAAAAGACAATTACTGAAAAGCTGTTTGAATCGTTATAATTCCCCTTTGCGGCTAAGAGCCTGCTGAATCAGAATTGGAGCCGCCGTTAATCCCTGTGTGACCCTGTCGGACCACAAGTTCATATAACATAAATAACTCGGTCTGTCTTTGCAAATGCCACACAATCATCCATACGAAGGTTATTCAAATCATGGCTTAAAGGATGGAAGTCTAAGGTGAGCCGCTTTTACACCAAATGGGTATCATTAAAAAGACAGAAAGGCGAGTTACATTCATTTTAAAAGTTCCATGCACTTTCTGAAAATTTACTGTTTATTTGTTAGCGGACTTTATGTTTCTATCATCCTTTTTAATTGAAATGCAACCGAATATTAATGCCTTGTTATCATAAGGTAAACAATCACAAACTAACACAGTTTGTAAAAAAATCTTCGCTTTAATAAGCTTCATTAATTGACATGCCATAAATTATAAATATGAATTCAATGCAAGTTGAAATATGAAAAAAATTAAGTGGTATTGAATAAACAATTCACGATGAATGTATGAATAATAATAATGAAGGTGTATTATTCTGATAATCGCATGAACACATTTTACAATATCAACTTAAATTTAGTTAATCTCTAATCTGTAACAAATGTTACTTTTAGCAAACCAGCCAATCTATTGTAGGAATCAATATTAAATGGAATTTCAATGCTTCATTTGTTCTAGGTTATAAATAATGCAAAGACATATGATAGGAAACATCCTCGGAAATACATGCGTAACCCATACGTTTACAAATGTGGTTCAAGGAAATCAGTACCCTTGTGTTCTGAAGATTGATAGGGTAACAAATATTTTAAATTTATGACAACGGAATGCTTATTCAAACTTCTTCAAAGATGATTTAACCATTACCTGTTAAATCAATATATTTTCATTTGCTTCCCAAAGTGTTCTTTTTTGTGAGAATACACAGTCGAGTTATCTATTCTGTTAAGGTACTGTTAATAGCGAAATTATCGCATCCTTTTATACAATCTAGATTAATAGTAAGTAAATCTTTGAAATCATATTAAAGGAGCTCCACTATTGTCCCATAGAAATTTGGAATCTTACACACATCAAACGGGCACATTAAACGGAAATATATGAAATAGTAGTAGCGATTCTGCAAAAAGCTTTAAACATGTAATGTAATTACTGAAAATTTCATCAGTTTAGAAACGGCGATGAACTTTATTTAGAATCTATAAATTATGGTAATTTAATCTTGATGCTTATTGATAAACTTGATTTATCTATTAGTAAAATAACCTGATTAAAATAAATAATTTGTCATTTCATGACATGCTTACAATCATGCAACAAATCACAGAAGTCCTTTAATTTTACATTACAGAGACATTTAAAATGTCGGTTATTGGATAGTAAAATAATAAATACTTCATTGATACGGTAAAGCTTTAAAAGAATACATGACAAGTGTACGGTATATGTTTTTCAAACGGTTGCTGAGTAGGATTTAAGATGAATTCTTTCCGCAGCTCCAACACTGTCAATGTGTAATGATTTATTGTAAATGTTAGAATTTGAACTGATTATGATTTAGTTATTTTAATCAATGTGTAAGTTATAATTGTTGATGTTTAACTGATGTTTATTGTAGACACAAAAGAGAAGAAGGTATTGTTAGTTAAACCATCCAACATATGTTTCGACTGATTTTGTCCTATTCAATAATAAAGCGAACGCAAATTTCTTGTATCTTTTGTAGTTTGTTTTTCCTTCTCAGAAATAGTTGCTGTACTGTCAAAATGTCTATCGGAATATTTGCAATGTACATTTAATGTGAACATTGACCGCCATATTCCTTTTTGTGGTTTTATAAAGTAATATAGGCGGCACAACTCCGGAGAAGCAAACTATAAACAAACAAAAAATCAATTTAATTTCTAAGTGTAAAAACAAATTTATTTTGGGAATATTAATTTTCAGAAGAAAACATGTTTGAACATGCAGGCTGTTTTGGCGCATTTTCGAATTGCTTGTCTTAATTCTAACTGTTCTAAGATGTTAACTTGCGAAACGTAACTATTATGCCTGTTAAAACTCATGAAATAAGTCATTAAAGCTGTTTCAAATTTCGGTCTCGGTAACCGTTTGATATTGAGGGTGATTTCATAACTTTGTATATGTAAACATTTTCCCAGATGAATCAAAGATTTAATCTAATACTAGGGGCGCCGTGGCCTAGTGGTTAAGATCGTTGACTCCAAACCATCCGCCCCTAACATGATGGGTTTGAAAAACCCCACTCCGGGTCCTTTGAAGCTATGAAAGCAAACCCTACGGTCGGTGGTTCTAACTCAAGTGCCAAATCCTACCCTAAAATATTGCACGGAAGCACCCCGAGGTTTCTTCTTCCATTAAATGAAGCTGGAATGTTTGTCATTAATATGTTTATTGACCTCTTATTGGGTTGAATAACGAGTAAAACCCAACACAAAGAGCCAAAATAAAAACAAAAATTCCTACAGGACAGTTTCAATGTATTTTGATGCTTATTTGAAAATTTGTATGATTTATAAATGTGTACGTGTACTTAACTAATCCTCTAAATGTAATTGGTTGCTGTCTTTAATTTACCAGTGAATAAAGCAATAACCGTCATTCAGATGGCCAACGTACATTGAAATATTGTATAATAATCGTTAAAAACAAGGGGAAGTTAGTGGTGACTTGATCTTATTATGGTATGTTCACCATGCGACTCGGGGAGCAAAAATATGACAAAATGTTGACTTTATAGTATTTTGTTTTTTTCGTCCGGTGCTCCGCGAATCAAAAGTACGACATGGCACTAATCATCCACCATAATATTTGGTCCATTTTATTTTATATCTATTTATTTGCTACAATATGAACAAACAATGTAGGCTATGTCTTCAAAATATTTTATATAATATTGAATAACGGTATAATAAAATGTATTGACATAAAGTAAAAGAGCACAAAACGTGCATGATATTCGCCGATATAAAATGAATTATATACATACACTTAAACCATTCAATCATAAAATATGAAGATAATATATTTCTGGGGTTCAATACAAAGCAAATCTTGTAAATGATTTATTCTATCAATCCACGTGATTTTGTCACTATAGCCAAAGAAGGAAAAAAAACCGGTGTTAAACTGCCAATAAACACTGGTTAGGGACTACTTGTATATGCGGCTGTTATGTTTTCACCCTCGATTATATAGTTAACAAAGCATTTTAAAGCAACAATAAAAAGCATTTTTATTAATATTTTCAGTTCTTATCATGTTTTCTTTTCAAACAATATCGAAATAATATCTCACATACACTAACACCACATATTTGATCCATATCAGTTAATAAATATTTTGACAAAACGGCGAATATCCGTAAGCAGCGTAATGACGTCATCCTAAGTAAACAACTCATTCATAAACAAGCTGACGTTATTTCATACAGTCATACACGAATGATAAATGGAGCACTGATGTAAACGCAATTTACGACGTAACTTTTTATTGTTGAAAACTTGATAAAATAAAATAATAATTTCTATAAACCCTTTCATTTAAGACCGTATTCAAGTTGTCGCCCTTGGATGACGTCATTGGGGAAACGGTGGACAATGCCGATACGTTTAAGTACACTTATAGAGGGATATAAAGATTTTAATCCTTTCTCTTGTAAGATTGGCAGATTGAAATTGGCACAATTTTGTGTAATTGATTAAGATATTACAAAAAAAGGATGGTGAAATGAATAAAAATGTTTACTATAATAAGGTTAACGATTTGTTTTAATATTAGACCATATTCCTGGGTAACTGATCATGATTTAATTTACCATTTTCGTTAATAATAATATTTTTACAAGGCAGTTAAATCGTACTAACTTGCTAATACCAGAGATAAAGATAATGTATATATGTCTCTGCTAATAAACAATACCCAAAGGATATTTTGAGTTTCAAAAATGTAAAGGATTCTGTAGTTTCAAAAAACGGCTGCGTAATAATTAATTGCAAGATACTGGTTTATTGAAAATCATTTTGATTTAAACATTACTAAGGCAATGAAAAGAAAAAAATACAAATCTATGTAATTTCAAAACAAAAAAAATGTAAAGGCATAAAAAGCAAAAATTCCTTTGAATGTACGTGACTGTATAGTATTTGTGTCGGCAAAAAAATGCACTCTCAAAACATCGTACATCACACTTGATCAGGTACGTATATTAATGTAAATATACGTACCTGATCACACCAATATATTTAAGCTGGTAAAGTAATATTTTCAACTTGATACTTTTAAATTCATACTCTGCTTATAAAATTAAAAAAAAAAAAACACAAAAAAAAAAAAACAAGTTGTGAAACACGTTCACAGAAATTCGTTATTAACTGAATTATATTTTTACTTATTTTTGACTGTTCCAGTTGATAGGACTCTGGATCGAGTATCAAATCAGTAAGGCATGACCAATAAAGTCCCAAGGAAGATTCATAACAAAATTCGGACCATAAATATTTTGACAACTAACAAAAGTGACGTAATCTGATGTAATGTTATAACTCTAAAAATGCACCCTGGTGATTTATGATATCACAGCCAAGTGCTGCTTGTATAAACGACATATGCACCCTGTTAATTAATATGTTACGGCCCAGTGGCGCTTAGATATACACATCTATTTACCTATGAAATCAGTTACTGGGAAAAGGTCTTTAAAGAATGGATTTTTAATATCAAAATTATCTTATTATCGTCTGTGGTGTATCTAAAATTATAAAAGTCAATGCCACATGGTTTTTGTTCTTTCCGGAATATTTATAAAATTATATCCTTCACCGGTTCTTGAAATATTTTTTATACGGCATTATGAAATATTGACAGAACGCATACTGTTATTGTTCTATTAAAGCATAAAAAACAATCATTAACAGACATTGGCGATCTTTTTTTCATGTTTGTCACAAATACGCCGGATTTTCTAAATGACAGAAAAAGACAGAAAACTAGAAAATGGCCATTTAAATTTATAATAGGCAATTTCAGTGTGTATGAGTGTTTATAAAATATTAAAATTTGATTTAGTTAATAGCTTTTTATCCTGGCATTAGAAAATTCTAGATCTTATAGATATATATTCACTTTGAAATTTCGCTGTTTCACTCCGTAGCGAGAATTAATCTGAATCTTTGTTTTTGTATTTTTTCTATTGTCTTGATATTGAATAATGTATGCATGCGTAAATTTTTACATGTTATAATCATAACTGAACGATCAGTTTTACGCGTCGTTTTGATGCGAAAGAATTAACCACTCAATTCATACGCATCAAAACTCCAAACCGGTGTTAAATAGCCGATAAACACCGCCAAGACCGATATTCTTTCTGAAATGAGAATCTATATCATCAATTCGTTATTCGATTCTCGCAAAAAAAAAAAAGCGAAAACCTAATGTCAGTCCATCGATTCGAAAGTAATATGCAAAATATTATAAAGGTCGCAACTCATCTAATTAATGCCTATTGATATTATACATGTTATAAATTATGTTCAAGGCAGCTGAACATGTTTAGAAGAATTTATAACTAGTTTGTATTGAATGTAATTAGGAAAAACTGTTATTTATTATGAACCACGTAAACATGCTTAAAATCCCGAGGTATTTCAGATAGAGAGGTTACATTACCTACGTTTGATAATGAAGTTCGAATAAACTTTCTGTTTCAAAGGAATACAGCGTAAATTCAAGTATTGTTTTGCAAATGAAGTTCACATATTTTAATAGTTTTGGAGAATAAAATCTAAAACAGAATTCCCGACGGGAAAAAAATGTATCGTAAAAAAATGTTCTGTAAGTTCTGGTCGCACAGTCACCGGTTGAATTGCATGTGAATCATCTACGTAATGATTACAGTCATGTTATTATTACTTCGGCTTTACATGAACGAGATCTGAAAAGGAAAAAATATTGTTTTTATTGACATTGATCATAAATTCAAACAAAATACAAAAAACTGTGATTATGTTTAATGTTATCTTCAGTTTATGTCAACTTCTCAAAGTAAGTAAAGAACACGGATATGTTCAGCAAAGAATAAAATTTTATAGATACTGTTCTCAAAATAAAAGATAATGAAATGTGTTTAAGTAGTCAAAGCTAAAATTTCAGATTCAAATATGTTCTTGAATATGGCTCCTAGTATTCTAAATTCTACATAATGCAATAAAAGCGTGTTTCATTCACTGAGATGACCTTGTACATATACCTTGTAACCCTAATAAAATTTTAAGTTTTATATTATTAGTCCATATTTTTCACATGAATCAGTAGCCCATTTAATGAGCAAATTTTCATTTAAATACACAAGGTTTAACAATCATTTTCATGTTATATTTGGTTGACATGGATTTAAATTAAAGTCAATGTTGTTTATAAAGTATATTTTTTCTTTTCATACTTTTCATAGCTTGCCCTTTCCGCGGTAACTTAAAAGATCTTGTAACTCAATTTTTAACGGTATAATATCAAAAATATAATGCTCAAATGAAGAATTATCAATATTGTAAGTTCCAAAAAGCATCATTTGTAAAGATATTACCAAATCTACATTTTCTTGTCAATAAAAGGAAGTAATCAGATTTATTTTCTATAAAGTCTATGTCAAATTTTTCAATAAAAAATAAATGCAAATATATCTTAATGAAAACATATAATGTGGACAAATATTTTCAGTACATATTTGAAATACGAATATTCTTCGATGTTTGAAACTTGTTTTTGAAGCATAATTATTGCATATATAAAATTTCTCTTAATTACAACATACAGGATCTTTAAAGTAAAATTGTAACTATAAATCACGCCTAGTTACAGGTTCGCAAATAAGAGCATTTGCAAATTGAACACTGAAGTCTAATATAACATCTACTGCTACATCTCTGGACTACGATACAAGGGGGCGTCCGTGGCCGAGTGGTTAAGGTCGTTGACTTCAAACCACGTGCCCCTCACCGCTGTGGGTTCGAATCCCGACAGGGACTTGATTCTTTCATGTGAGGAAGCTATCCAGCTAGCTTACGGAACGTCGGTGGTTATACTCAGGTGCCCGTTCGTGCCTGAAATAATGCACGGAAGGGTACCTGAGGTCTTCCTCCATCAGTAAAGTTGGAACGTCGCGATATGACCTACACTGTGTCGATGTGACGTAAAACCCAAACAAACAAAATACAATACAATGAACATCTTAAGAATATACAAAACTAAACATTATCCACATAGATATTCTAATATAGCACATACATGCACCAATCACGTGACTGTCTTCTCCTCGTTTATGGTTTCAAAAGTGCTATGTATGTGTTACAAAACGTATTGTCTTCTTTTTCATATGCATGTTATTTTAAATGTTTATGACATATTTCGGATCTAAAATATTCTACGTTTACACTTAGGAGCTTCTTATGAAGCGGCGTTATTTTTTATTTTATTGTTGTTTTTTTTAATTATTTATCGTTTTAATAAAAGATTTGATAAAAGTATTTTATTTGTTGCAATAGCTTATTGAAATATATAAATATTAACAAAACCTATATGATTCTTATTTACATCTTTTACATCATCCGTGCACAATGCAAGTAGAACAGATGATGATGATTTTGTTGTTGTTGTTGATATTATTATTATTGTTGTTAGATGATGATGGAAAGTACTGTGTTAGACACTTGTTCTAAAGTCAGCACATTTACCTACTTTACTTAATCCATTTTCTCTTATATCCGGTTTACTATCGGTTCTTGCAGCTTCTATAGCGTCATCCAGGGATACAAACATGATATCCTTCCGCGCCGGAATAATTTCTGTGGCTTCAAATACATTCCAGATTTCATCTGAAAGAAGAAATACCGGTTCGCATTAAACTGTTATAAGCCGTTTACTATTGTTTTTAACAATCATCATATTATTTTAACCGCAAGTAAAAGAAACCGCACAGAAAGTAGAAACAAATGGGATGCAAACATTTTTTCTTTTTTATGGACAAGAGTTTCCATAATATGTTTTGCTGCATAATATTCGAAATAAATGCCGAATATAAATGCTTAGGGAACTTTGAATTTTAGCGTCATGCATTTTCATGTTAAACAGTTGGTTTAGATCAAATCTAGATACAATTTTTATATACATTAATATTTTGAATATGATATCGGGATAATTGGTAATAAAGGGAAGTAACTCGTCTTAATATCTAAAAGATCATCATTACGCAACGTTTTTCTTTCTTCCAATTTGTATGGTATCAATAGGGGTCAAACATATTAGAATGCTGTTTGCTTTTGGGTTATATATATGTATATATTTTATATTTCCATTTCTTAGAAAGTCATAAGCATTTTTTTTGTTTTATGAACTTTGATTCTGACTTTAAAGATAATTACAATGGTTTGCTTTAATATTTGTATTCGTTCATGTTTTGATGGTTTGTGCAATATCAGTGTGTAATGTTCACATACCTGAAATGTTAGTTAGGTATACCCTCACGTGTACATTCTCGTAATCTTCAATCAGCTGAAAATCATTTAAAAAAAAAAACAACATTTCAATATATTAACCGGACTTGCATGTATTATACTATATGTATCCTACAAAAAATGGCTAAAACGATCGTTTAAATAGAGGATATTTGTTTAGTTCAGTGTAAGATCGGAATATATTTCACCGAGTGAGCACCAAAAGGTATATTTCACTAGTGGTGCAGCCACGAGTGAAATATGAACTTTTGGTGTTCACAAGGTAAAATATATTACGATCTTACACTAAACTAAACAAATTTTCTTTTTATTACATGCAAAGAAACGTTTTAAAAAGACATTATAACTAATACTGAATGAAAAGCGCGCCAAATATTAATACAACGTGACGTCATTTACGACGTCACGTCATTAAGTTGGTACCCAGTACTGTGCACGCTGCTATTTCACTGAAACAACGTAAGGGGCTTAAATTCAAAACAGTGAAATTATTCAAGTGGTAATTTCACTGTTTCAAAACAGTGAAATTATCAGTTTTAATTCAATGATATATTTCTATAAACCATCGAAAAGCATGTAATAAAAATGATATACTAAATGCTAAAAATTAATGATATTAGTCATAAGAATTATATATGGTGCTGTTTATATTTTAATCATCAAACAAAGTGATATTTTGGCATTAAAAATGCAGCAAACATTGAAGCACGATTACATTTTTGAGGTATACTCTAATTCATAATTTCCGTAGTAAACTCATATGGGCGTTTTATTTCAGATGAGTCGGTTAAAAGTCTCATCCTTAAGTAAGATTCTTTTCTTTTTTTCTCGTTAAAGTAGCTATAGATTTTGTTTACTTTATTCCACGGCGATCAATATATAATTATTTTTTTTGTATTATTTGATATCAATTTTCGCGACACTAGTATTAATATTCATTTGTACTTACAGTTTTGATCACTTTGCAGCCTACACTATCAACAAAAGACACTGCAGAGAAATCGATAATGATATGGGTGACAGGTATCTCAAATTCGAACGGGTTGATGTCATATATCTCGGGTAATTGACCATTTGTCGACGCTATACTGTCCTGCCTTTGCATCTTAACAATCGTCTGTATGTACACACATTTTTTTAAGAAAGCGTTTAAAAGATTCAGATTTATTTAGAAAAAATATATCATGAGACTCTTCTTTGTTTATTAGCAAGCGTTCAACTTGCTCATAAACAATCAACAAAAGTGTTTTCAGGCGCATTTCTATATCCTATACAAAATGTATTGATAAGCGTTTCGAGGAACCAGATTTTTTTTATAATTGCCTGAATTCATGCGCGCCAGAAAGTACATCACTAATAAAAAAAGAAGCGTCCACGATTTATTTTGTCATTTTAAACGGTAACAAAATTTCTTTAAATATCGACAGATTTTTTTCTCTTAATTTGTGATACATGTATAACAGCAATGTACACATTTTCCATTATTTACAAAAAAGAAAGAATGATTCGTTCAATGACATAAAATGTGTCGAACCTCATTTTTTCTATTCGAATCAAACTTTACTATCTAATACCAATAATGTATTAAAGCTGTAAAATATATATAGCAATTCACCACATTGGTCAATACAATTAACACGTACATTGTTGCTCCCGATGGTAGTCTCCATACTGCTAATTGACGTCCTACTGCCTCCTAAACTCTCACTCGTTTGAGACGCTCTACAAATTTGTTTTCTGAGCACTTCCGGTTTGATGGTTGCTAGGCGATACACTTCTCGGACAAAGAGGTCTCCGTTGGCAAAGTATACTGGGTAGTTGTAACTAATCACCTTGATTTCATTGGTTAAATGAGAGGTCTGCAAATGTTCAAATAAAATATGACGGTTGATAGAAATAAAGTGAATTTATTTCGTACATTGCGTGCATGTAATCGTATTCCAACGAAGTGATTGTTTTCCTACGACGTGGCTGTATTCCAAGTACCGAATAGTCTTCCAATTCCAATCACGTGATTGTTTTTAATTCAAGGGATCATATTCAAAAGACGTAATTGCATTCCAACCACGTAATTGTATTCTAAATACGCAACTGAATTCCAACTACGTAATTGTATTCCAACTTAATGATTGTATTTAAACACGTTATACTACTTGCATTCCAACTAGGTAATTGTATTCCAACCATGTAACTGTTTTCCAACCAAATCATTGTATCCAACTACGTAATTGTATCCAACCAAGTAATTGTATTTCAACCACGTAATTGTATTCCAGCTGTATTCTTAATTCAACCACATATACTTATCTATGAAAGGGTATATTATATTAAAAGAGACTCTTGTGATACTATTTAACTAAACAAGTTCAAGATATTTAATTATTAAAAATTAAAACTGAATTGATATCCTCTAAAACTGAATAAATGAATGACCTTCTCGAGTGACCTTGAAGTAATAAAACTTGAAATTCTTTATTTGACAGCTTATTTAAAGATGATAAACGCTCCTCATTTACTTTAAACATGTATTCTTACCAATCTTTAGGTATATTATACATATATGTTTATACCTTCAAGTACTTCTTTGGATCTTTATACACGTTCTGGTCGGTAATCTTGCCCAGGCTGGTTGGTCTTGCCCTAAAAATAAAAGAAAAATAGCATTAAAATACACTGTACATTGCAGTACATTGTATACATAATTTTCAAAAGACGTTTTGTATTATAAACATGGATCAAAATACTATAAATATATAAAATTTTATTGATTTTCCATTTGATCAAATATGAAAGACGTGCTACATTTTATTTTATTTAAAGATATTTAACCTTGACAAAAACAGGAAATGTATTCACTCAAAAAGGCAAAATGGTAAAAGCATCAAACTATCATTTTTAAGTGTTGCAGTCGAAAAGAAATACCTTGTTCCAGGTTCATATTAGAAATACTAGCATTTATTTTGAGCTTACATTTGTGACCGTAGCACCACTGTGAAGAAAGAAAACACGAGTCCAATCATTAACCCGTAATCAAGGTGTAATAGCGTAGCGCTTAGACACGTGACGACCCAAATGTACTGAAAAAAAAAACATGGAGAACGTGTTATAGAAATGAGTACTTGATTATAACACGATAATGCCAAATATTTTCAAATAAGCTGTTTTCAACAAAACATCTCAATGAATATAGATATTGTCAATTAGACTTAAAGACCATTGATTTATAATCAAATAACAAGTCAAATATATCATATATGTTTTTTATGGGAACATGTACTTGTATATAGTACCAACTAAAAAATTGAACACCTATGCTGAACTATAATTATTTATTCTTTTTCATAGCTATATTTAAAACAATAATGTGCTGTAATATTAAAGTTATGACAAAACAACCTATGAAGCCTAGTTACCGTCATATTTATAAGCATCTTTGCAAACTGAATAATTTCAGTATATAATAGCTATGTTTCATTCTTTGGTCTTAAAAAAATGGTCTTTAAATGATACTCACAAAATCATATTTTGAAGTTTTCCATATTTTGGGTAATTCCAGCACTTGTAGAATGAGGCTACGTAATGCAACTACAATAATCGCTGATAAAACGCACTGAAATAAATACGTCATAAAATGTAACTATGACGTTTACATTGATTTCATAGCCGCAAACTGATTAAAATAAGCTACTCAATAACCCAACACATTAAAAGATATAAGAAGAAATGAACCTTAGTCAGACTTTTCATAGCCAATGCATTAATCATATGAATTTGAGTTATAAATTGATCCACGTTAGTCCCACTGCAAAAATGACGTTATTATTTTTGTAACAACAATCTGATAACAAGTTTTCTGAAGTCGATGCGGTCAATATTTGTTTTGTAAAGAAAAGAACATATGTATGACTATGCAGGTGTATAATTCACTTCATCACATTCATACTCACATTTGGTAGATATTCAAACAAAGGTCCAAGCCAGAGTATCACGATCAGTACAAAACTGGCGGAAAATAAACTTGCAATCTGAAAAAAAAAAGATTTTAATACAATATGGATTCGTATAAAAGATGACGTTGATGTTGACGACATAAAGCACGGTACGGTTAAAGACGATATAAATAAAAATCACTAATTTTCTGCTATCACATATGAACATCAAAATTAAGATCTTACACTTTTACTGTGGAATATTGTGATAACTTTATTATAATAATGGAATAGAACGAACCTGAGATTTACCACCGGCAGAATCCTGAACGGAACTTCTTGCCACGGAGGCAGCGTAAGGGTAGCACGAGAAAAATGATCCGAATACATTTCCAGCTCCGTATGCTATTAACTCCTGAAACAAAAATAATTAAAATAGTAAATGATAAAACAAATGTTATATATATTTTATCATATTTTAATATCTTTCACAATTATGTATTTACAGCACATATATTTAAAAATATATGTATTTTACGTTAGCTATACAATATATATATATTCCTGCTTTAAGTACGTTCTACATAAGCTCGCAAGCCTAATTATTAAGTTGAATAGGAAATCAGCTTTCGGCATAAGGTTCAGTCAAAGATTGACTTGCTATAAGTTTGACATTTTTTATGAAAAAAAAAAAGGTTTCTTTGATTGAATTTATTTGATTGACGGTTACGTGTATATAACATTTGCCTTAAATGGAAACAAATTTGATCTTATTAGATTCATGTCAATGGCTCACATTTCTAAAGGACAAAATAACATTTTAGCATTATATATCTTTATTACCCTTCCAGATTTTTTCCGCCTTTTTGATTGGATATTGATCACCCGAAAGATATTGATATAACCGAGCCAGACGGGTAATATACACATTAAATTTCCCCGTTGGGTACCCAACGTTGTAAACAACATGCGCTGAGGTGATGCGCGTACGGTTCGATTTTACGCGGTGTAAATTCCGATTTACAAGCACTTTTTAACTGTCAAATGATAAATATTTACCAAAGTAGAGTAATGATACAAATTCCAATCAGTATTGAAAACAAATATGACCTTGTGAAAGCTTGATATTAATTACAAAAAAGTACTTTCAATAGACTTCTCCTTTTCTCTTGTTTACATTCGTTAGGTACGGGAAAAATACGTCATGTATTTAATTGACGTCATGTTGTGATAAAGAGGTACCCTAAAGGGAATCTTATTTCGACGTTTCATTTGAAACAGCAATGATTTCTTTTAAAAATCGTCTAAACTCGGCAGGGGAAGGGTAATAAAATTATTATTTTGGTTTTGGAGTGATATATGTGGATATATTACCTGCCAAGATAAAATATCACCCTCGCCTAACAGCTCGGGTGATATAAAATCTTAGCAGGTAATATATCCACATATATCACTCCAAAACCAAAATAACATATAATATACCTAAGAATTGTCGTAATTCAAAGTGACATTATGCCTATGCAAGTGTAAATGGACAGTGAACAAAATTACATAACAATAGTTTGACATTTTGCTATAATTGTGTTCAGTAATATATTTTACAATGAATGAAAAATTAATCATGAATCCGTGTAACCAACAGAAATTTCTATTAATATTGTTCAGAATGTATCAATAATACTCAATTCCTAAAACTTGTGACAGTCTTTTTAAATTTAGGAAGGTTTATAGTGTATCATAAACATTTTTCCTTACCAATTATTGATTACGCTAATCTTTCAAAAATATATTACTAATTATAGTCAACTTGAGAGTGAAATAATGAGCATAATGTCATTTCAAATAATTGTTGCGAGAGACCCTCACCTGGTTTGCATCGATGGCATATTTATTTTTCTTCGCCATCATCGCAGCCAGTGACACAGATTGAGCAAAGGAGATGAAAGCGATGATTGGAATATCGACAATATATTTATCCACACCTTCAAATGATGGCAGCGCAGGTTCCGGAAGTCTGAAGAAATCATGAGCAGATACGGGCAGATGTGGAATAGGTGAAGGCATGCATGCAAAAAAGAGAGTGTCAATCAAATTTATTTTTAAACAATGTAAAATTTTAGTTTTTTTTACAAGTATACAACAGTTTTCAATGAAAAATAATGTTTTATATTTTATATTCATTTATATTCTTTTATTTTAATAAAATTTGTTTTTTTCCCGCACTGTTTTATGTCTTGGCAAAAAACAAAAGGGCTGAGTGACACGTTAACAAAATATCATAATTCAGGGCAGAGACTTAAATAATAACATACCAAAGTATACTCAGACAAAAATGTCATCAATTACAACTTATTAAGTCATCACATTTTTAATTTTCATTACATAGGATAACCTTTGTATTGTGCACTTTGCTTACAGTGCTTACACATTGTTCAGATGACATTTTAACAAGTAATGTACACAGGTCACATATGCACGCCATTAGAAAAGTGTATTTGATAGAGGTATCAAAGTCGTCTGAAAGTTTATGTTAATCATATTGATATGTATGATTATTTTAATGTTTGCCGACGGTATGGTCATATTTGGAAAGTCAATTGATGAGTTGCAATCGAATTTAAATAATGTACAGCTTTATTACATGCTTTTCGGTGGTTTATGGAAATATATCAGTGATATAAAACTGGTAATTTCACTGTTTGAAACAGTGAAATTACCACTTTGATAATTTCACTGTTTTGAATTTAAGCCCCTTGCGTTGTTTCAGTGAAATACCAGCGTCCACAGTACTGGGTACCAACTTAATGACGTGACGTCGTAAATGCCGTCACGTTGTATTATCAGTTGGCGCGCTTTTCATTCATTATTAGTTTTAATGTCTTTTTAAAACGTTTCTTTGCATATAATAAAAAGAAAATTTGTTTAATTAAGTGCGCCACTCGTGAAATATACCTTTTGGTGTCCACTCGGTGAAATATATTCCGATCTTACACTGAACTAAACAAATATCCTCTATTTATTGTGTTAGGTGGGGCCTAGAGGTCAACATAGTTAAACTAAAACAATGTTTTTTAGGAACTGGGGAAAAATCAAAGAAAATGAAAAATGGTCATTCGATAATAATTTATTAGAGAATGTTGATAATTTCAACTATTTGGGTGTAGTCTTTAATTATACGGGGTCCTTTCAACTTCATTATCAGTATGCTACAGGAAAAGCTAGGAAAGCCAAAAATGTTTTACTCCTTGATATTAACAAATATAATGTGACCCCTTCCGTTTCACTCCGATTCTTTGATGCATTTGTTTCCTCAACATTAAATTATTCTTGTACAATATGGGTTTTACAAAATCTAAGGATATAGAAAGGATTCACTTGAAATTGTGCAAGTCATTGTTAGGCGTAAAACACAGTACATGTACTGGAGCAGTTTATTCGGAGGCCGATGTCCACTATATATTCAAAGATATGTTCAAATAATAAGATTCTTTTTACATATTCTTCATTTAAATAATACTATCTTAAAAAAATCAAGAATAAAGATCAACAAGGCAAAGGCAACGTTCACAGGACGCGGCCCCCGACACACTCAAAAAACCTAGAGCGGACATAAGGGTGAAAAGAGTGTGACATATAATGTGAAATAATATCAACTAAAACAAGCACATACGGGAATTAAAGGGATAAGGGCTGTAAGGCTGAAAAGTTGGGGGGGGGGGTAAAATGGGTGAGGGGGGGTTGAGAAAATACTTACCGTCAACGACAATCCAACAAGACAGACATCACAAAACACGTAAACATCCAAAACAACAAAACAGACATGAAAACTTAAAGTCTGCTTTATATTCATCCACAGGTTTTCATTAAAATTGTTATATCTCCTGGGCAGCTTAGGTATATTCTATTTTAAATGAATATGGATTCACAGATGTATGGCTAAACCCATTGCAATACAGTCCGAAAGTGTTTGTTGAAATATTCAAACGTAGATAAGCCGATTGTTTTATTCAAAAGGTAAAGGCAGACATTCAGTCTAGTCCACTATTGTCTAGTCTGTATGTACATTTGCTTGACAAATTTGAACCGGCATTTTATCTTGACGATTTGTTTAACAATTTCTACAGACAAAATGTATCAGGTATTAGGTTATCTTTTCATAAATTAAAGATAAAGGTAGAGAGGTATGGACCACGTTCAGAGAGAAAGAATTATAGTTTAAACGTTCAGAAAGTAAATGCGATAGTTTAAACTGTCTGCTAATGTAGTTAGTGTTTAATCCTATAAACAATTAATCAGAAATATAAATAAACATTGTCTTTGAATGTTCAATCTTAAATACATATTTAACTGTTAAGTGTTTTATATTATTTTTAAGAAGGTATAGGGATGTCTACTGGCGTTAGCCTGCAGTCTGTGTTTTGATAAGACGGACATAAAAGAATAATAAGTTTTTGTGACTTTAGCCACATTTAATTTACAATAATTACAACATAAATATGCAAGTCTCGGTTAATTAAAACAAATGTAAAATACATAAATACAATATCTATACATGTACTTCAGTAAATGCATTAATAAAAATTAAACATGGTGATTTTCAATACATAAATAAATACATAAAAACTAATAACCGTAAGGGAATGATTTGTAGTTTTCAGACAACACTCTCTTGTCAAACACAATTTTGTAATCTTTCGTTTCAGTTTTCGTTATGATGTGGCAAGTTTCTCTATTTTTAGAGATTTCTTTTACTGTCTACAACTTAAATGCATTGATTTTGTATTTGTCCCGCAACCATATCTTTAAGAGTATCAAAATTTATATCCATTAAGTTCTTAAAATTCAGCGTTATTCCCCTGAATTTACAAATAGAAGATTGACCTTTTTGTTTGGTTTTGCTAAGCAATATGCAAAGTTCTTTGGTCCCCCAGTGGCGATTTTAGTTTGTTGATATTTTGGAGCTTCGTCCGTTAAATCTCCTAGGAAGTCACCGAATGGAGTATCCCACTCACCCTGTACAGAGGTGAACACAACAAAATTGGTATCACAATACAAAACCCTTTAACCTAATGGTTGTAAACAACTGTATTATTTTAATCGGGCTTGAGCTGTTGTGTATGCTGCAGCAGCAAAGAAGCTTCTATAAAATCAGTATTATATGCCAAGTCTAACTGGACTGCTTCACCATTTATGAAACATACGTTCTTTATTTCTTGTTTGACAGATGAAACAAGAAGCCCTTCCTTTCAAAATAGTGTGTTATATATTTTTGTCGGTCTGTCTCAGTTTTACACCAGTTAAGCCAACCACTGACTTCCTGTTTGACTTTCAACAAAGTATTCACATATACTGTAAAAAGACCACCTGTTTTGGTACGAGGTTCGTATTTGGCTATTTCATTGAAATGCCAAACTTCGTAAATTTTAAGTAACTTCTAACCTTGTTATAAAGCCATCTTCACTTCATCGGTGACCCATGTGTCTGTAAAGTCTCTTTCTTCATCAATATGGCTACAATTTCCATTTTCATATGTTTCACTGCAGGTGCGACAGAGAGTGAACATATTAAGCTTTCCATTGCATTTGGTTGGCAAGACGGGAATATATACAGTTTCTTTGGTAGAATGATCTAACATTCAATTAACCCTTCATAATTCCTTAAACTCAAAATTTTCAGTGATAATATTTTGGTGACCTAAGGGTATTGTCCCTGTTTTATTGATGAATGGATACAGAGATGTCACATCGAAGTACTTAATCTGATTATCAGCCGAGGTCTCTGCATACATTTTAAATGCATAGTACGTCCACCATGGAATGCCATCTCTCGGTTCTAAGGGCAAAACTATTTCCAAAGATTCGATGTATTCTTTCATGATGGGATTAGATTGAAATCGTATTCCCATATTCATTCATAAATATACCCTTCAGATTCAATATACTTTTGCTAATAAAGGATGTAAGTGTATAATTCAGACATGGATAATCCATTGACCCGATGAGTTCTTTTCATTCCGACACCACTTTGATTTTCATGTTGTGAAAAATGTTCATCAAGCGCATCTTTCCTTGTAAACACTTTAAGACATTTTGGACAGTAGTGAGAATTTTCGTCGGCATGTTTCTTCATATGACGATCTAAGTTCTGTTTTGTATTGAAAATCTTCTTGCAGCTAGGTTATGTATATATTTGCCAATGATTTTCTGTTCTTCTATGCTGGAGCAGCTTACTTAGCTTAGTGAAACTACTTTGCACCGTTCGCATGTATAAGCCATGTTGATTGTTGTACGACTAAAATGATAATGAAAAATGCAGTATTAGTCTCTAGTTAAATAATAAACTTTGAAAAAGAGATATATACACAGATATTTTTTTTTCTTAATTTTATTACAAAAAAACTAAAATAGGATCATTAAAGTATCCTTCAGATATTTCAAATTTAATCAAGAACACACAGGAAAAAAACCAGGCGAGACTAAGAAAAGCAAGACGAGACTAAGAAAAAGCCAGGCAAGACTAAGAAAGAGCCGGGCGAGACCAAGAAAATTACTTTCTTAAATACAAATATTATACAATTTCTTTAGTGCTATGACTATAAACACTATACAAAATGATTTAAGAACATCTCCGTTAGCTCACACGAAGAGAAATGAAACACTAATGAATCTGATCAATATGATATAAGCGAACTGAAAGAATCAAGCCTGTGATTGGTTGAGGTGTGTGCAAACGATGGCGTAGAATTTGTCAGAAAGAAATATAATTATAAAACCAAGACAAAATAGGTATTTGCCTCATTACGTGTTTGGCTTTGGAACTGAGAGGATGGATAAAATACAATGTCCAGAGTGTCATCAAGTTTTTTCGAGAAGAGACACTATGTTACGACACCAGAGACAACAGCATGAAAGAGCAAGTTAAGCGTATCCTCCTCCTCCTCCCCAGAGGGTGCATTTGGGAGCGCCTCCTCCACCTGCTCACGAATCGCATGTGTGGGCACAGGGAGCGCCTCCT